CTGGAAAAACAACGTTCAATCAAAGCCTCTGAAATCAATGTTGGCTTGTCTTTTCCACTCGTCCTCTCCTCCTCCTCTCAACCCGGTTTGTTTGTCTGCTGACTCCGATCTGCTCGGCATCCAATTTCTCTCCCCCCCTCCCGGTGTCTCTTGGCTGCACAAAGCCACATTTTGTTTTGTAGCCTCGCCACAAATACCAGGTTGTCCTCGGCTTACGACCTCAAGGGAGCTGTTGCCGAGCCAGGCCGTGGTTAAGTGAGCTTTGCTGGCTGGGGAATTCTGGGAGTTGAAATCCACCTATCGTCCACAGTTGGATGGAGTGATGGATGGAGAGTTGGATGGTGGAGAGATAAATGGATGGATGGATGGAGAATTGAATGGAGAGATGGATGGATGGATGGAGAGAGATGGATGGATGGATGGATGGATGGAGAGATGGAGAGAGATGGATGTATGGATGAAGAGAGATGGATGGATGGAGAGAGATGGATGGATGGAGAGATGGATGGAGAATTGGATGGAGAGATGGAGAGGGATGGGTGGAGAATTGGATGGAGATGGTGGAGAGTTGGATGGAGATGGTGGAGAGTTGGACAGTGGAGAGATAGATGGATGGATGGACATGGAGAATTGGATGGAGAGATGGATGGATGGATGGAGAGTTGGAAGGTGGAGAGATAGATGGAGAAATGGATGGATGGATGGACATGGAGAATTGGATGGAGAGAGATGGATGGATGGAGAATTGGATGGAGAGGGATGGATGGATGGAGAATTGGATGGAGAGGGATGGATGGATGGAGAATTGGATGGAGAGGGATGGATGGAGAGATTATGGATGGAGAGATGGATGGAGAATTGGATGGAGGGATGGAGAGTTGGATGGTGGAGAGATAGATGGAGAAATGGATGGATGGATGAATTAGATGGAGAGATGATGGATGGAGAGTAGGATGGAGAGATGAAATGATGGATGGATGGACAGAGATGGCTCGATGGAGAGTTGCATGGATGGATGAAGAGTTGGATGGATGGAAAGATGATGGATGGATGGAGAATTGGATGGACAGATGATGGCTAGATGGAGAGAGATGGCTGGATGGAGAGATGTCTGCTTGATGTCTGGTTTCAAGTACCAACATTGGCTTGTCTGCTTGATGCTGGTTTCAGGTACCAACGATGGCGTCTCTTCTGGATGTCCAGTTTAAGTACCAGTGATGACTTATTTGCTTGATGTCCGCTTTCAGATGCCAATCATGGCTTGTCTGCTGGATGTCTGCTTTCGAGTTCCAATCATGGCTTGTCTGCTGGATGTCTGCTTTTAGGTACCCAGGATAGCTTGTCTGCTGAACGTCACCTTTTCGATACCGAGGATGGCTTATTTGCTGGATGTCTGCTTAAAGGCCCCAATCATGGCTTGTCTGCTTGACATCTGGTTGCAGGTACCTCCTGGAGCAGGATTTTCCCGGGATGCGGATCGGACCCGAGCCCACCACGGACTCCTTCATTGCCGTCATGCAAGGCCAGGTGGAAGGCATCATCCCGGGCAACGCCCTGGTGGTCGATCCCAAGAAGCCCTTTCGGAAGCTCAACGCCTTCGGGAATGCCTTCCTGAACAGGTGCGTCAGGCGGCCGGCGCGCTGGGGGGTTGCCAAACTGGTTTAACTGGGGAGACTGGGTGGCGGCAGGGTTGGGTCTGACGGTCCCTGTCCGGGTTTTTTTTTTTCCGCTTTGGAAAACTTCCTTCTCAGGGATTGTGGTTAGTCCTCGTTTAATGATGCCTCCCTTAGTGACCAAAGTTTGAATGGATGTCCCCGGAGCACCAAGGACCTGATTTTTGACGTTCACTCTCTCTCTTTCTCTCTCTCGCTATGTCTTTCTCAGTCTTTTTCTCTCCCTTTCTCCATCTCTTTCATTCTCTCTTTCTCCATCTTTCTCTCTTTTTCTCTCTCTGTCTCCATTTCTTTCTCATTCCCTCTCTCCCTTCGTCTTTCTCCATCTGTCTCTCTCTCCATCTCTCTCTCATTCTCCCCATCTTTTCTCCCTTTCTTTCATTCTCTCTTTCTCCATCTTTCTCTCTTTCTCTGTCTCCATTTCTTTCTCATTCCCTCTCTCCCTTCATCTCTCTCTCATTCTCCCCATCTTTTCTCTCTTTCATTCTCTTTCTCCATCTTTCTCTCTGTCTCCATTTCTTTCTCATTCCCTCTCTCTCTCCCTTCGTCTTTCTCCATCTGTCTCTCTCTCCATCTCTCTCTCATTCTCCCCATCTTTTCTCCCTTTCTTTCAGTCTCTCTCTCTCTCTCTCTCTCTCTCTCCATCTTTCTCTCTGCCTCCATTTCTTTCTCATTCCCTCTCTCCCTTCACCTCTCTCTCATTCTCCCCATCTTTTCTCCCTTTCTTTCATTCTCTCTTTCTCCATCTTTCTCTCTTTCTCTGTCTCCATTTCTTTCTCATTCCCTCTCTCGCTTCAACTCTCTCTCATTCTCCCCATCTGTTCTCTCTTTCATTCTCTTTCTCCATCTTTCTCTCTGTCTTCATTTCTTTCTCTCTCCCTTCGTCTCTCTCCGTCTCTCTCATTCTCCCCATCTTTTCTCCCTTTCTTTCAGTCTCTCTCTCTCTCCATATTTCTCTCTTTCTCTCTGTCTCCATTTCTTTCTCATTCCCTCTCTCCCTTCATCTCTCTTTCTCCCCATCTTTTCTCTCTTTCATTCTCTCTTTCTCCATCTGTCTCTTTCTCTCTGTCTCCGTTTCTTTCTCATTCCCTCTCTCTCTCCCTTCGTCTTTTTCCATCTGTCTCTCCATCTCTCTTTCTCCCCATCTTTTCTTTCTTTCTTTCTTTCTTTCTCTTTCTCTCCATTTCTTTCTCATTCCCTCTCTCTCCACCTCTTTTTCTCTCTCTCCCTTTCTCTCTACATCTCTCTCCCTTTCTCTCCATCTTTCTCATTCTGTCTCCATTTCTTTCTCATTCCCTCCCTCTCTCTTTTTCTCTCTCTCCCTTTCTCTCCATCTTTTTCATTCTCTGTCTGCATTAGTTTCTCATTCCCTCTCTCTCTCCCTTAGTCTCCAACTTTCTCATTCTCTGTTTCCATCTCTTTCTCTCTCCATCTCTCTCTCATTCTCCCCATCCTTTCTCTCTTTCTCCATCTCTTTCTCTTTTTCTCTCTCTGTCTCCATTACTTTCTCATTCCCTCTCTCTCTCCCTTCCTCTTTCTCCATCTGTCTCTCTCCATCTCTCTCTCATTCTCCGCATCTTTTCTCTCTCTCTCTCTCTCT